CTTTGAAAAAACAAAAAGTGTCAACGACCCAGCAGGCCCAATGTCTAAAAATTTATTAAATTAAAATCAGAGAGAGAGAGAGTAGCAAAACCGAGCAAAAATTTGGAACCGCCGCATATAAAGAATTCAAAATTTATTTCATTTCAGTTTGAAGAAAAACAATACTAAGTCAGTAATAATAACCCTTCTTTTTGAAAACGGAATAGCTCATCCCCACAGTATTAGTTTCAGGGTCATATTTCGGTAGACGATGCCTTGGGCACGGAATAAGGTGGAAGAGTTGTGGTAGAGAGTATAAGAAGTTGAAAATCTAGAGTCGAACTTTACAAAAGCATAAGAAACAAATGTTAGTCAAAAGACCAAGCGACGATTTTACTTAAAAGTAAGAAAAGTGCAAGGAAACATCAAAAAAAAGCAATATTACTTGAGGAATAAGAAACAAAAGCATAGTTTTACTGAAGTGTCCAATAACAGAGGTCGCTCCGAAAGTCATGCCAGCCCAGTAACAAAAAGTGTCACCAACAAAACCCTTTGCAGGATACCTAAAAAAACCAAAAAAATTACGCTCAAATTTCCTCAACAAAAACTAGACAATATGAAGAACTTTCAATTTGGTTGAATACAAAAGGAAAACAGATTGCCACAAGTAAAAAAGCAACTTATGAAGAAACAAGTTTTAAGAAAACATACCAGTTAAAATGCAAAAGAACAGAGTCAACAGCCATAAAAGGTACCATAAAGTAAAGAGACAAACTATGCTCCCATTTTTCGTTTTCAAGTCGCAAAAGCTAAGAATATATATACATACATATATATATCTGTATGCTGCATATTGGAACCAATATTATTGTTATTTAAAAAATAAAATCTTATAAAAATCTTTTGAAATTTTGTTACTTGCACTATGTTAAAAACGACAATTGAGAGCGCGACAACGAGTGCTTGCCCTGCTTCTAAACCATTGATACCAGAAAGGATGTTAATTGCATTCGTACAGAAAATTACCTAGAACTTAGGACATGATTAAACAGTAATTTTAATTTAATTCATTAGAAAGTAAAAAACTACAAAAAAAAATAAAGAAGAAGATGAATAAGCGGTATAGAAATTGACCATCATTCCCATATATACGTAGTATAAAACACCAATATCCAGGGCTCTACCAAAAGGCAATATGGTTTGCAGCTGATTCGGAACAACTATCACAGTCGAAGCGCCTAAAAGTAATTTTAAAAAAAAAAAGTAAATATAGTGGAAAGTAATAAGAGCAATTAATTTACCGGTAACGTGGTAAACAAGCAACACTGGTAAAGAGGCAAGTGCAGGAAACATAAGTTTATGTCGCCATCGTAAATCGAACATATCGTCTGCGAAACCAAGAAGAACAGCTGAACATATTCCAAACGCCAAAGAAATAAACGCAAAAAACTTATCATGAGGGAACTCTGAACTAAAAAAGTAAACATGTAGTAAATGTAAAAACGATATAAACCAGATAAACCAGGATGCTTTGCCGAACAGTTCATCTCAATCTTCTAAAATATTTTTCTTCACCTCCACCAACAACGTCTTCTGCCTTCCTCTAGAAGTTTTTAATTTAAAAAACTTTATTTACTACTTAAAGCACTCTACATGCCTTAAATAAGAAAAGACTAACTGATTTAGAACCCACTCTAAAAAACAAACTGGAATCAAGACGAAGATGATTAACAAATATACGACAGCCGGGATTATGCCAATGGGCTCTGGAACTTCATTATCCAACGCCTAAAAAGTGCAGGAATAGAAGAAAATGCAAAAAAAGTACCTTTCTTTAACAAGTATTAGAGAAAACTTTTTAGCTGCAATTCCTTTTAATATTCCCTGCATAAAATGTAGCATTATTGATAACATTTGATAAACAGAAATCCTCATATCAATAACGCCAATTCAATCAAGGTGCCTTGTGTAACAAAAAAACAACAAACAACTTACCTTGCATTGGTCTTTTCCGCACATATTTCGCTTGATAAACTCTGGCATATACTCTAAGATGGCCCAGTAGGAAATGAGCGCCCCATAAAAGCTGATAATGATACATACAGAAAGAGAAATAATCGGTATAAAAAAGAAGAAGAGAGAGGATACCGAAAGCCCAAGTACACCACAGCCTAAGAAGACAAGATACGATGTACCAGGTTTGTTTACACCGGCGACCAAATTTGTGCTAATGCTGACCATTACGCAGCTGAAACAAAGAATAAGTCTTGACAAACAGTGTAAATGATAAATTTTCGACGCCTTGAAACAACTGACTGATATAGATAAATTTGAAACTGAAACAATAATCAGTAACACCTCTGTTTATCCAATTATTTTCTCATTAAGATGATAAGAAAATTGTTTTTCA